TCACCACTACTGCAGACAGCTAGCCGGTGTTTAGTGCAGCAGCGTCACCACTACTGCAGACAGCTAGCCGGTGTTTAGTGCAGCAGCGTCACCACTACTGCAGACAGCTAGCCGGTGTTTAGTGCAGCAGCGTCACCACTACTGCAGACAGCTAGCCGGTGTTTAGTGCAGCAGCGTCACCACTACTGCAGACAGCTAGCCGGTGTTTAGTGCAGCAGCGTCACCACTACTGCAGACAGCTAGCCGGTGTTTAGTGCAACAGCGTCACCACTACTGCAGACAGCTAGCCGGTGTTTAGTGCAGCAGCGTCACCACTACTGCAGACAGCTAGCCGGTGTTTAGTGCAGCAGCGTCACCACTACTGCAGACAGCTAGCCGGTGTTTAGTGCAGCAGCGTCACCACTACTGCAGACAGCTAGCCGGTGTTTTAGTGCAGCAGCGTCACCACTACTGCAGACAGCTAGCCGGTGTTTAGTGCAGCAGCGTCACCACTACTGCAGACAGCTAGCCGGTGTTTAGTGCAGCAGCGTCACCACTACTGCAGACAGCTAGCCGGTGTTTAGTGCAGCAGCGTCACCACTGCTGCAGACAGCTAGCCGGTGTTTAGTGCAGCAGCGTCACCACTACTGCAGACAGCTAGCCGGTGTTTAGTGCAGCAGCGTCACCACTGCTGCAGACAGCTAGCCGGTGTTTTAGTGCAGCAGCGTCACCCACTACTGCAGACAGCTAGCCGGTGTTTAGTGCAGCAGCGTCACCACTACTGCAGACAGCTAGCCGGTGTTTAGTGCAGCAGCGTCACCACTACTGCAGACAGCTAGCCGGTGTTTAGTGCAGCAGCGTCACCACTACTGCAGACAGCTAGCCGGTGTTTAGTGCAGCAGCGTCACCACTACTGCAGACAGCTAGCCGGTGTTTAGTGCAGCAGCGTCACCACTACTGCAGACAGCTAGCCGGTGTTTAGTGCAGCAGCGTCACCACTACTGCAGACAGCTAGCCGGTGTTTAGTGCAGCAGCGTCACCACTACTGCAGACAGCTAGCCGGTGTTTAGTGCAGCAGCGTCACCACTACTGCAGACAGCTAGCCGGTGTTTAGTGCAGCAGCGTCACCACTACTGCAGACAGCTAGCCGGTGTTTAGTGCAGCAGCGTCACCACTACTGCAGACAGCTAGCCGGTGTTTAGTGCAGCAGCGTCACCACTACTGCAGACAGCTAGCCGGTGTTTAGTGCAGCAGCGTCACCACTACTGCAGACAGCTAGCCGGTGTTTAGTGCAGCAGCGTCACCACTACTGCAGACAGCTAGCCGTGTTTAGTGCAGCAGCGTCACCACTACTGCAGACAGCTAGCCGGTGTTTAGTGCAGCAGCGTCACCACTACTGCAGACAGCTAGCCGGTGTTTAGTGCAGCAGCGTCACCACTACTGCAGACAGCTAGCCGGTGTTTAGTGCAGCAGCGTCACCACTACTGCAGACAGCTAGCCGGTGTTTAGTGCAGCAGCGTCACCACTACTGCAGACAGCTAGCCGGTGTTTAGTGCAGCAGCGTCACCACTACTGCAGACAGCTAGCCGGTGTTTAGTGCAGCAGCGTCACCACTACTGCAGACAGCTAGCCGGTGTTTAGTGCAGCAGCGTCACCACTACTGCAGACAGCTAGCCGTGTTTAGTGCAGCAGCGTCACCACTACTGCAGACAGCTAGCCGGTGTTTAGTGCAGCAGCGTCACCACTACTGCAGACAGCTAGCCGGTGTTTAGTGCAGCAGCGTCACCACTACTGCAGACAGCTAGCCGGTGTTTAGTGCAGCAGCGTCACCACTACTGCAGACAGCTAGCCGGTGTTTAGTGCAGCAGCGTCACCACTACTGCAGACAGCTAGCCGGTGTTTAGTGCAGCAGCGTCACCACTACTGCAGACAGCTAGCCGGTGTTTAGTGCAGCAGCGTCACCACTACTGCAGACAGCTAGCCGGTGTTTAGTGCAGCAGCGTCACCACTACTGCAGACAGCTAGCCGGTGTTTAGTGCAGCAGCGTCACCACTACTGCAGACAGCTAGCCGGTGTTTAGTGCAGCAGCGTCACCACTACTGCAGACAGCTAGCCGGTGTTTAGTGCAGCAGCGTCACCACTACTGCAGACAGCTAGCCGGTGTTTAGTGCAGCAGCGTCACCACTACTGCAGACAGCTAGCCGGTGTTTAGTGCAGCAGCGTCACCACTACTGCAGACAGCTAGCCGGTGTTTAGTGCAGCAGCGTCACCACTACTGCAGACAGCTAGCCGGTGTTTAGTGCAGCAGCGTCACCACTACTGCAGACAGCTAGCCGGTGTTTAGTGCAGCAGCGTCACCACTACTGCAGACAGCTAGCCGGTGTTTAGTGCAGCAGCGTCACCACTACTGCAGACAGCTAGCCGGTGTTTAGTGCAGCAGCGTCACCACTACTGCAGACAGCTAGCCGGTGTTTAGTGCAGCAGCGTCACCACTACTGCAGACAGCTAGCCGGTGTTTAGTGCAGCAGCGTCACCACTACTGCAGACAGCTAGCCGGTGTTTAGTGCAGCAGCGTCACCACTACTGCAGACAGCTAGCCGGTGTTTAGTGCAGCAGCGTCACCACTACTGCAGACAGCTACCCGGGTGTTTAGTGCAGCAGCGTCACCACTACTGCAGACAGCTAGCCGGTGTTTAGTGCAGCAGCGTCACCACTACTGCAGACAGCTAGCCGTGTTTAGTGCAGCAGCGTCACCACTACTGCAGACAGCTAGCCGGTGTGTAGTGCAGCAGCGTCACCACTACTGCAGACAGCTAGCCGGTGTTTAGTGCAGCAGCGTCACCACTACTGCAGACAGCTAGCCGTGTTTAGTGCAGCAGCGTCACCACTACTGCAGACAGCTAGCCGGTGTTTAGTGCAGCAGCGTCACCACTACTGCAGACAGCTAGCCGGTGTTTAGTGCAGCAGCGTCACCACTACTGCAGACAGCTAGCCGGTGTTTAGTGCAACAGCGTCACCACTACTGCAGACAGCTAGCCGGTGTTTAGTGCAGCAGCGTCACCACTACTGCAGACAGCTAGCCGGTGTTTAGTGCAACAGCGTCACCACTGCTGCAGACAGCTAGCCAGTGTTTAGTGCAACAGCGTCACCACTGCTGCAGACAGCTAGCCAGTGTTTAGTGCAACAGCGTCACCACTGCTGCAGACAGCTAGCCAGTGTTTAGTGCAGCAGCGTCACCACTGCTGCAGACAGCTAGCCGGTGTTTAGTGCAACAGCGTCACCACTACTGCAGACAGCTAGCCAGTGTTTAGTGCAACAGCGTCACCACTGCTGCAGACAGCTACTCAGTGTTTAGTGCAGCAGCGTCACCACTGCTGCAGACAGCTAGCCAGTGTTTAGTGCAACAGCGTCACCACTGCTGCAGACAGCTAGCCGGTGTTTAGTGCAACAGCGTCACCACTACTGCAGACAGCTAGCCGGTGTTTAGTGCAGCAGCGTCACCACTACTGCAGACAGCTAGCCGGTGTTTAGTGCAGCAGCGTCACCACTACTGCAGACAGCTAGCCGGTGTTTAGTGCAGCAGCGTCACCACTACTGCAGACAGCTAGCCGGTGTTTAGTGCAGCAGCGTCACCACTACTGCAGACAGCTAGCCGGTGTTTAGTGCAGCAGCGTCACCACTACTGCAGACAGCTAGCCGGTGTTTAGTGCAGCAGCGTCACCACTACTGCAGACAGCTAGCCGGTGTTTAGTGCAGCAGCGTCACCACTACTGCAGACAGCTAGCCGGTGTTTAGTGCAGCAGCGTCACCACTACTGCAGACAGCTAGCCGTGTTTAGTGCAGCAGCGTCACCACTACTGCAGACAGCTAGCCGGTGTTTAGTGCAGCAGCGTCACCACTGCTGCAGACAGCTAGCCGGTGTTTAGTGCAGCAGCGTCACCACTACTGCAGACAGCTAGCCGGTGTTTAGTGCAGCAGCGTCACCACTACTGCAGACAGCTAGCCGGTGTTTAGTGCAGCAGCGTCACCACTACTGCAGACAGCTAGCCGGTGTTTAGTGCAGCAGCGTCACCACTGCTGCAGACAGCTAGCCAGTGTTTAGTGCAGCAGCGTCACCACTACTGCAGACAGCTAGCCGGTGTTTAGTGCAACAGCGTCACCACTGCTGCAGACAGCTAGCCAGTGTTTAGTGCAGCAGCGTCACCACTACTGCAGACAGCTAGCCGGTGTTTAGTGCAACAGCGTCACCACTGCTGCAGACAGCTAGCCAGTGTTTAGTGCAGCAGCGTCACCACTACTGCAGACAGCTAGCCGGTGTTTAGTGCAACAGCGTCACCACTGCTGCAGACAGCTAGCCAGTGTTTAGTGCAGCAGCGTCACCACTACTGCAGACAGCTAGCCGGTGTTTAGTGCAGCAGCGTCACCACTGCTGCAGACAGTTAGCCAGTGTGTAGTGCAGCAGCGTCACCACTACTGCAGACAGCTAGCCAGTGTTTAGTGCAGCAGCGTCACCACTGCTGCAGACAGTTAGCCAGTGTGTAGTGCAGCAGCGTCACCACTACTGCAGACAGCTAGCCGGTGTTTAGTGCAGCAGCGTCACCACTGCTGCAGACAGCTAGCCAGTGTTTAGTGCAGCAGCGTCACCACTACTGCAGACAGCTAGCCGGTGTTTAGTGCAGCAGCGTCACCACTACTGCAGACAGCTAGCCGGTGTTTAGTGCAGCAGCGTCACCACTGCTGCAGACAGCTAGCCAGTGTTTAGTGCAGCAGCGTCACCACTACTGCAGACAGCTAGCCGGTGTTTAGTGCAACAGCGTCACCACTACTGCAGACAGCTAGCCGGTGTTTAGTGCAACAGCGTCACCACTACTGCAGACAGCTAGCCGGTGTTTAGTGCAACAGCGTCACCACTGCTGCAGACAGCTAGCCAGTGTGTAGTGCAGCAGCGTCACCACTACTGCAGACAGCTAGCCAGTGTTTAGTGCAGCAGCGTCACTACTGCTGCAGACAGCTAGCCAGTGTTTAGTGCAGCAGCGTCACCACTGCTGCAGACAGCTAGCCAGTGTTTAGTGCAGCAGCGTCACCACTGCTGCAGACAGCTAGCCAGTGTTTAGTGCAGCAGCGTCACCACTGCTGCAGACAGCTAGCCAGTGTTTAGTGCAGCAGCGTCACTACTGGTGCAGACAGCTAGCCAGCTACTCCAGTCCAAAGCCTTCGGCATTAGCTAATGCGATGTACAACTTGTTCTTGAGGACGTCCTTGGAGTCGTAGGGAGGAAGAACGAGTTGGTTGAAGCAGGTGTGAGCCTGGGGCAGCATGTGAGTGTGTCCCCTCCAGCAGGAGATCTTAAATACCATCTCGCTCATGCCTCCTACGGGAATACGGTCGCTGCCGGTGGTGAAAAGCAGGAAGAGTTTCTGCTGCTCCACAGGCATCTCGCTAACCACCTCCCAGAATCCCCTGCAGGAAAGTCACTTCGCATTAGCTCCTCCTACAAGCAGTTTAACTACCGTATATTCCGGCATATAAGGCGCACGACAGAAGTGTCATAACTGTAATCAGTATTCATATTCAAGGGCTTATTACTCTCTTAAGCTAAAGCGTAACCCCAAGTTAACGACCCTGACCTTGAGCATATAAGGCGCAGGCTGATTTTCCAAGACTTTCTGTGTAAAGAAAAAGGCGCGCCTTATATGCCGAAAAATACGGTAGTTATAAGGTTTAAAGTATATATACTACACAATGTACCTAGACACTAACATCAAGAATAATGAAGAAGCAAACTTTCAGTGCATATATACCGAAAGATACACACTTCTAGGTATATATACACCGTCTTAGATCTAAATTTACTACCAGATACTAATATCTATGTTATAGAAGTTTATCCATATTCAGGGAAGACGCTTATTACGAGTATCGACGCTGATACAACTAGTGAAGTGAAATACGTCTACACTCAGGAAAATAATAGTTTACGTGTATCAACAAGAACAGTGTAGCGTAGTGATGAGGATCAACACTCGCTAACAACAAGAACAGTGTAGCGTAGTGATGAGGATCAACACTCGCTAACAACAAGAACAGTGTAGCGTAGTGATGAGGATCAACACTCGCTAACAACAAGAACAGTGTAGCGTAGTGATGAGGATCAACACTCGCTAACAACAAGAACAGTGTAGCGTAGTGATGAGGATCAACACTCGCTAACAACAAGAACAGTGTAGCGTAGTGATGAGGATCAACACTCGCTAAAATATCTTTATTTCAGACAACATTTGATTAATTCTTAATCAGAATTAATTAAGACTTATTCAGACTGTTAAGTTTGGTGGAGTTTAATCGTGGAATGATGACTTGTGTCCTTACTGGCTACTCGTTGGCTTGTCCCAGTTACCCTGGGATGATTGAAGCTTTGACCAAGTCACCCTGGGGTGATTAAAGGTTGTCCCAATCACCCTTGGGATGATTGAAGCTTATTACGTCAGTAGAGAAAGCAATTAGTTTCTATGTGATCTGTACACATATTAAGGGAACAAAATCTGGTTGTATGATTGGGTTGTGACATACTTTATGGTAGGGTTGTCATACTTTATGGTAGGGTTGTGACATACTTTATGGTAGGGTTGTCATACTTTATGGTAGGGTTGTCATACTTTATGGTAGGGTTGTGACATACTTTATGGTAGGGTTGTCATACTTTATGGTAGGGTTGTGACATACTTTATGGTAGGGTTGTCATACTTTATGGTAGGGTTGTGACATACTTTATGGTAGGGTTGTCACACTTTATGGTAGGGTTGTGACATACTTTATGGTAGGGTTGTCATACTTTATGGTAGGGTTGTGACATACTTTATGGTAGGGTTGTCACACTTTATGGTAGGGTTGTCATACTTTATGGTAGGGTTGTCATACTTTATGGTAGGGTTGTGACATACTTTATGGTAGGGTTGTGACATACTTTATGGTAGGGTTGTCATACTTTATGGTAGGGTTGTCATACTTTATGGTAGGGTTGTCATACTTTATGGTAGGGTTGTCATACTTTATGGTAGGGTTGTCATACTTTATGGTAGGGTTGTGACATACTTTATGGTAGGGTTGTCATACTTTATGGTAGGGTTGTCATACTTTATGGTAGGGTTGTCATACTTTATGGTAGGGTGGTCCTCGGTGTAACCATCGTACTCGACCACTTTCTTCAACTCGTTGAGGTCCAGCTTGGGAGAGCCACATACTAACATCTCCACTTCCTCTGGACGCAACATCTGCAGGGCGAGGCAGGGAAATATTTAGTATGGCGCGATGGTGATGCTTATTGTGAGGCGAGGCCAGTCGTGTGATGGTGAGGTTCATGGCAATTATTATGGTAGTGTTATGGTGGGCAAGGTTGATGGTAGTGACTGGTTGTGGTGCGATGATGATTGTAATTCAATCTATATCAGCTTCACAGACTTCCTTTGAGCCTGATAAAGGGATCTTGATAAAATTAAACCTAGTCGCCAAAGTTTTTACTAAATTTGTAAGTATTTCGTTAATAATGTGATTTGCTTAGCTGACAAAAAAAATGTTGGGGCCCAGTTTATGAACGTATTATGTGTCTCTAATATTTTAGTTACCGCCTCAAGGATGGGTATGGGCGCATATAAAATAACTTTAGATCTATTAAGATCTATTAAAAATAGGAGAGAGAACTAACAATTAAGGCATTTGAGGCACAGACGGTGTGAAATCCCAGGTAAAACGCCCGGAACTGTTCATATATAGCAGTGTTGAGGATCCAGTCGAGGTAGAGGCGGACGAACTCTTCGCGATTTTCACAAGTTACCGGTAAAGTTTCTCCATTTTCTTTGAGGTTGAAGGTTCGTGGTTGACCAAATTCCTCCAGCGAAACCTGACAGTATACGAAAGTTGGTTTCTATACAGGTAATTTATATTTATGGAGCAATATAATGGCAAATGAGCTGCATCATTACATTTGTGAGATACTTGAAAGAAAATACGACATTGTATATTTCAGATCGTCATATGTAACGATCCTAAGTCAGCCTTCAACCTCTTTTTTAATAACAAAATATTACTAAATTAAGTTAGTTCTTACTTGAAAGCTGAGACACATGTCTTCCTCGACATCACCCTCGTACTTGAGTAACTCCTTGAGTCCATGTGCAACTTCCTGTCAGAAATATAATAAATATACTGAAGTCTTACGTCTGCCACGGATATTTTTTGGGGCAGTATAATTATTGATTACTAGACAGATTTTTCTTAACGGTTGAGTGACTGTCAACTACCATGACTGTCCAGGAGTAAACTAAGTTATTATATATCTTAAGAAGGCTTAATGTTCCCTGACAGTCAATGTTCATGATTCCTGTCTGCTCATTACCCGTCATTGTCTCAGTGAACTCTGACCTACAGAAGCTAGGCTTAAGGAAGCTAGACTACAGAAGCTAGGCTTAAGGAAGCTAGACTACAGAAGCTAGACTACAGAAGCTAGGCTTAAGGAAGCTAGACTACAGAAGCTAGGCTTAAAGAAGCTAGACTACAGAAGCTAGGCTTAAAAAAGCTAGACTACAGAAGCTAGGCTTAAGGAAGCTAGACTACAGAAGCTAGGCTTAAAGAAGCTAGACTACAGAAGCTAGGCTTAAAGAAGCTAGACTACAGAAGCTAGGCTTAAAGAAGCTAGACTACAGAACCTAGGCTTAAAGAAGCTAGACTACAGAAGCTAGGCTTAAAGAAGCTAGACTACAGAAGCTAGGCTTAAAGAAGCTAGACTACAGAAGCTAGGCTTAAAGAAGCTAGACTACAGAAGCTAGGCTTAAAGAAGCTAGACTACAGAAGCTAGACTACAGAAGCTAGGCTTAAAGAAGCTAGACTACAGAAGCTAGACTACAGAAGCTAGGCTTAAAGAAGCTAGACTACAGAAGCTAGACTACAGAAGCTAGGCTTAAAAAAGCTAGACTACAGAAGCTAGGCTTAAGGAAGCTAGACTACAGAAGCTAGCTAAGGCTTAAAGAAGCTAGACTACAGAAGCTAGGCTTAAAGAAGCTAGACTACAGAAGCTAGGCTTAAAGAAGCTAGACTACAAGAACCTAGCTTAAAGAAGCTAGACTACAGAAGCTAGGCTTAAAGAAGCTAGACTACAGAAGCTAGGCTTAAAGAAGCTAGACTACAGAAGCTAGGCTTAAAGAAGCTAGACTACAGAAGCTAGGCTTAAAGAAGCTAGACTACAGAAGCTAGACTACAGAAGCTAGGCTTAAAGAAGCTAGACTACAGAAGCTAGACTACAGAAGCTAGGCTTAAGGAAGCTAGACTACAGAAGCTAGGCTTAAGGAAGCTAGACTACAGAAGCTAGACTACAGAAGCTAGGCTTAAAGAAGCTAGGCTTAAAGAAGCTAGACTACAGAAGCTAGACTACAGAAGCTAGGCTTAAGGAAGCTAGACTACAGAAGCTAGGCTTAAGGAAGCTAGACTACAGAAGCTAGGCTTAAAGAAAGCTAGACTACACAGAAGCTAGGCTTAAGAAGCTAGACTACAGAAGCTGCTAAGGCTGACTAAGAAGCTAGACTAGACAAAGCTAGTGCTTAAAGAAGCTAGACTACAGAAGCTAGGCTTAAAGAAGCTAGACTACAGAAGCTAGGCTTAAGAAGCTAGACTACAGAAGCTTAGAGCTTAAAGAAGCTAGACTACAGAAGCTAGGCTTAAAGAAGCTAGACTACAGAAGCTAGGCTTAAGGAAGCTAGACTACAGAAGCTAGGCTTAAAGAAGCTAGATTACAGAAGCTAGGCTTAAAGAAGCTAGACTACAGAAGCTAGGCTTAAAGAAGCTAGACTACAGAAGCTAGGCTTAAAGAACCTAGACTTACAGAAGCTAGGCTTAAGGAAGCTAGATTACAGAAGCTAGGCTTAAAGAAGCTAGACTACAGAAGCTAGGCTTAAAGAACCTAGACTTACAGAAGCTAGGCTTAAGGAAGCTAGATTACAGAAGCTAGGCTTAAAGAAGCTAGACTACAGAAGCTAGGCTTAAAGAAGCTAGACTACAGAAGCTAGGCTTCCTACCACACTTCAGACACAGAATCACTAGGTAGTGGCGTCCTAAATTATTGATGCTCTCACTTGTGGAGAATTTAATAATGCAACAGGAGAAAGACCAACTTACCGGCATGATCTCACTGAGGTCGTCGAGTCCGGGAGCTTTGGCGATGCCCACGGCCATGTACTCGTAGGCGGGTACCACTGGTGGACTCAGCAGCTTCCTGAGGACACACACACGCCAGGTTGTTTACTCAAGACAGAGTACTGTGTTGTGTTGTCAGTCCTAAACACTTCAGTTTAAATCCCATTTTGCTGGGTTTGTAGATGAAATGTCGAAAAGTAAGGATGTGGGAGGTGAGTTATCGTTTTCCATCATGCGAGGGAATCGTGTAATAATGTTGGAATAATCACATCCATAATACTGAGACTAGTACAGTTTGCAACAAGAAGAATTAGACATGTGCAACATCAGAGTATCTTTACTGTAGACGTTTCGCCATCCAGTGGCTTTATCAATACCCAGATGTTGCACATGTGTCTAATTTTTCATCTTGTCGGTATTGTCTACCATAACTGCAAAGTTTACAACAAATTCACAAATCTGAAATGAAAGCTAACCGACCTGATAATATTCCGGAATGAACCAAAATATTAACTTTGTTTACCTTTCATACATAAGTCTTGGTACCTTCCTAACATGCATGAGCAATTTTTATGAGTTCCCTGAGAGAACTCAAAGAAATACAGCCTTATCTTTTAAAGCGGTGGAGGGGTAAACCAGTGGAAGGCCTCTGTCAGATGACCAAAAGCTCCAGCTGCGGGCCATCATATAAACTAAACCCGCGTCAACAAATACTTGTCCTGTTTCCTGACGAACCTTACCTAACCTAACTCAGAGACGCTGTGTAGGACGCTAAGGACGCACCTGTAGCAGATGGCTGGGAAATGGACGTCCAGAATGATGGAGTTGTAGACAGCGAGACCCATGAGGACGCCTATAAGGTTGTACTCCCTGAGGTTGCCATCCTGGGCCAGGGAGAACCAGTAGAGACGCTTCGAAGGATGGTACACGAACATCTTGTTCTCTGGCTGTAGGATGAAGACCGTGTGTTGAAGGTATACTTTCTCTCTCCCTATCCATCTGTCTATCTATCTATCAATCTAGCCATCTCTCCACGTGACTATCCCCAATCTCTTCACCATCATCCTTTCATTCCTAGATTCATCCCTCGTCTTTCTTCCTCTATCCTCCATCCCCCTTGCTTCCTCCTCCCGCCATGTCTCTCTCTACTTCCTCTCTTCCCCTCCCTCCCTTACCTTGAAGATCTGCTTAATGAGAAGCATGAACCACTCCTTCGTAAGACCGCCCATGTCCAGGCCGGGTTCTCCCTCGAAGGACACTTTCAACTTCTTCTTGAGATCTCGCTTCTTCGCCGCAATCTGTGGACACGTTGTGGACCCGTTAAGCCATGTTCCGAACACGCTATGACACGACAGATATACCTCATGACACCCCCTTCCACTCCACCCTCCATTATTTGGAGGTTCATCAGTGTGACTCCCCCACAGCATCACACTAACCTCCTTAAGAGAGTCTTCCACCAGGTGGTTCCTCCGGACGTTGATGTTGAGGAAGAAGATGTCAATCTGGGGAGGTTGATGTCTTGCCACTTTGTCGACCAGAGAGCGGCGAGCTGTCAGGATCATCTGTTGCTCCGCATCCTGTGGGAAACAGACAGTGAGGGAGAGAGAGTAGGAGGCGAAGGAGAGACAGTACACAGCGAGGTGGGGGATGTGGAATTTGTCAGTTACTGAGTGTCCAGAATTTCTACCATAACCAGCATTAAACTCTGAACACACTTGTGGAAAATTACATTTACCTGGATGTATCTTATTAGATACATACAAGTAAATGGTAACAAAGATAATTATTATTTATCAAAGTTACAGAGACAAGTAGGAATTTTTAGGACACCTAAGTCGCAATAAATGTCCCCCTTCGATACCTACCATCTATCTCTTCACAAGTTACTCTAGATCTATTAATTGCAAATGAAATGTACATCACGAGGAATTCTGGTAAATTTAATATAAATTTGTGGACTGTATATTAAAATTAAAAAATGATTACATATACACATTTATATAACAGAAGGAGAATTTATAATCATAACACTCACCAATTAGTCTGGAGATTACTGTGTGTCATGTACAGAAACCCCCTCTAACTAAATTTATGATGATAATACTGGCCAGAATTACAAACATAATTTAGATAGCTTATTTGAGGTTCCTGGAGCTGTCCTGTCCATCTTCTTAATGCTCAAATTATGCAGGACTGCATATCCAACAATTTTGGCTCCTATTTGAGAGGTTTTAAGCCCAATATAACCCCTAGAGCGACGAAAATTAAGCACATTACATTAGAGTGCCTGTAACACATTCAAAAAACAATGGCGTCTCTCCCCTGCTCCTCAGCGCAGGCGCAGAGCTTCCCTCTCCATTCTCTTTTTCATTTACAAATTAATTTTTATCAAATACAATGTAGGCCATCAATTTACATATAAAATACACTGTATTTTTGGAGAATATACAATATTTTCCTCAGCACTACTAAACATCAAGATCTCTCATGATCACTGGCAGTGTTGATGGACACACATATGAAGCTCGAAAAATCTTTTTCGTGCATTTGAACAAGAAACAGAAGAACTGTCTTTTGGAACCATACGTGAGTGAAGAAGTGAGGAGAGGGGGCGGGGGAGCGTCTTCCAAGCACACACGATTCATTTATGTAGAAAAATAACGTTTTAAGTCTATAAATGAATCAGTCAGAGAAAAATGAGATTTCTAAGACCCTCTTTCATTCCCAGATTAAACGAGTCAAGACCCACCTTGGTGGAGAGGATGGTAGAGTACTAGCAGAAGGCACCTAGGACCCACCTTGGTGGAGAGGATGGTAGAGTACTAGCAGAAGGCACCTAGGACCCACCTTGGTGGAGAGGATGGTAGAGTACTAGCAGAAGGCACATAGGACCCACCTTGGTGGAGAGGATGGTAGAGTACTAGCAGAAGGCACCTAGGACCCACCTTGGTGGAGAGGATGGTAGAGTACTAGCAGAAGGCACCTAGGACCCACCTTGGTGGAGAGGATGGTAGAGTACTAGCAGAAGGCACCTAGGACCCACCTTGGTGAGAATGTGTCTCTTAGCCACGATGGAGAGGATGAAGGGGTACTGACAAAAGGAGAAGGAGTCAGGTCTCTCAGGAACTTGCCAGGTTCGATACTCAGCCATGAGATCGAGGTGGTCGAGTGCATGGTTGTAGAACTCAGAGTAATGGAGCAGTGGTGTCTGTGATGATGTGTTGCTGGCGTCTGTTCCAACACCAGAGTCGCCAGTGAGTGGTACACACAACATTTACTTATTCTTTCTAATTTATTTGAGCTCAATGACCCACACTGATTTAATGCATCATAAAATACAGTATAATATAATATAAACTTTGGGCGCTGCTTGGCCTAAACGAATTTAGAGAATTTTTTTCGAGAATCACAAAATGCACATATCACGGAGTAAATTTTTAGCAAGAGTACCCATCCTGGGTGATCTTTTAGATAGAGTACAACTCTTGGAGTGTGTGATGAACCAGAGTAGGCGTGTTGGTACTCACAGAGGATAGCGAGGACCTTGGTAGCTGTGGGGATCCACCACTTGCTCTTACTCAAAGGAGGAAGTGATCGATCTGGAGGAGGGAACTGCCGCACCGTCAGGAACTGAATGATGATCCCTACCATCATCCTGAGACGCGACACCTCTAGTCTGTGGGGAGACACACACAGGCTTCCTCAAACAACTGAGTATGTAAATAAAACAATACGTAATCCCCAGCATTTTTTTTTTTCGTTCCACCAGAGACTTGATCAGTTGATGAAATCCCAAGTGGAATGGACGGACCCACACACTGTTTGATAAACATGATTGTTGGTATGTAATACCACTGGTACAGAATCAATTAAGAGGCTTGATAATTCTATTAACTCATGTGTTAGTCCCACTCGAACCCAACACCACTCCAGCATGTATTTATCAACTTGTCGGTATTGTAGACCGACACGTCATGGTCTGATAAATTAGACACACGTGCAACACTTGGGTATCTTTACTGAGGAAACGTTTCGCCACACAGTGGCTTCATCAGTCCTATACAAAGAAGAATGGTGAAGATCAGAAGGAGTTTGGGGTAATCAGTCCCTCAGCCTGGAGTCGATGTAATTAGTCCATCAATCTTGAGAAGAATACAGAATATGCTCGAAGAAGCGACTTATATACTGTAGAAGGTGAGGTGAAGCAGTCGTAAGTGACATCACAGTGGACAAATCCACACATGGAAGTAGGTCATGACTATAGGTTAGCAAGTGAAGAATTCCCTGTGTCAAGATCCTAAAATGTTACTGTGTCTGACGGGAATATAGATAAATGGTCCAGAGAATCGACAAGTTGATAAATTAGACACGTCTTGCACATGTGTCTAATTTATCAACTTGTCGGTTCTCTGAACCATTTATCTACATGCAAGTCATGGTCTGAAAAGTGGCAGATGCACTTCAGTGCGGACAAGTGTAAAGTCAGAGTGCTAGGGAACGAAAATAACCCTCCTAGTTGCTGAGGAAAATTATTATTATTATAATCAAGGGGAAGCGCTAAACCCGTAGGATTATACAGCGCCTGGGGGATGTGGAAGACATTCAGGCTTAATTCGGGGAACTGGAGCACAGATCCAATTCCCTAAATCAAGAGCCCCTCACCAACATCAAGGAACCTTCCTTGAGGGGAAATGAATTATTATTATTATTATTAAAGATTCGCCGGTATTCTCCCGGCCCGGGCCTTTTCCAAGTGGTGGCCCGGCCTTGGCTCCCTCTTGGGAGTGTCTGAGACCTAAGTCTCTCATGGGAGGAGGCACAAGTACCTCATCTTTGGGATCAACTGTCCCCAGGCCTAGTCACAAGCTAGGCCTCTACGGTCTGCCATCCCCGCCCCAAGGGGGCAAATGGGAATGACAGTCTTATGAGCTAAAGGCTCGGGCTCAGGCACCTACCCTACCCTAGAAGGGCTGGGCATGGTGTCGATAGGGGAAATGAAAGAGAGGAACTGAGCACATAAACACCTACTGAGGTATCTAAGGTAGTGTGACTGAGAAAGGATAACGGGTTTAAAAAACCGACAAGTTGATAAAGACACATGGGTGACTATTCTGGAAATGTTTCGTCTGAATAAAGATTTACAAGTGTTATGCAAATGTTGCACGAGTGCTGCACGAGTGTTGCACGAGTGTTGCACGAGTGTTGCACGAGTGCTGCACGAGTGTTGCACAAGTGCTGCACGAGTGCCTTATTTATCGTCTCTGAGGAAGTTACAGAAGACCTTGAAAAATAAAAATGCAGCTGTTGGTAATTCATCGAGAGAACTTGAACAGTCCCTCTCAAAACACCAAACCAGGTCCGAGACGCGTCCTACTCACGTTCTGAACCAGTGAACGAGGAGCTGGTGGTCACCGTTGGTGAGGGAAGTGATGTTTCTGAGGACGTGGGCGAGGACTGTGTATGATGACTGTGTGAGGAATACTGGTGTCTGGATGATGACGAAGAGCGCCCTCACGCGGTCCTTGCTGAAGAGGTGAGGACGCTCCTGCAGCAGGGCGTTGATCACAGCCTTCAGGAAGTGTTTGTGGACCACTGACGGCTGCAGGACGAACCATCCCCAGCAGGAGCAGAGGGAATTACACTTTCAGTATTTAAAAAATGTACTGCTTTCTAACTTAGATACTTTATTGACAGTACTACCATCTTAAATACCTTATTGAAAGTACTACCATTTACAAACTGAGGGTACTCCTACGGTACTTAAAGAAATTCATGCACACGTTACAGTTGCTACTACACACACATACAAAGCTGTGACTCCCCCCCCATACAGGTGAGTACACTGACCATCTCTCTCACAGAGTCGTGGACAGTATATATAAGTTCCATCTTGAGACCAGGATCGTCAACACGCGCCCCATCGTAGTCTGGGTCCCGCTGAAACAATCGTAATAAACGAAGTAAATAAAAAAATATTTATTAAGAGACAAAACTAACAGTTTCGTGCTGTTCCTGTATCACAGGTACAGTACCTGTGCCACAGTAGGTAGGTACCTCAGTACCTGTGGTACCTACCTACCAGATACCACTACATTTGGTACAGTAGTATCTGGAATGAATCTCCATTAAATTATATTCCGGTTAAAATCTACAATAGAGAAAAAATCTTATAAATCAGAAATATTATATTGAGTAATTTTATGTTAATTAATAAAATAGGCCAGTGAAAAATAATTAAATAATTTATTAAAATCAATGAACTTCAGATTTTCACTCAAATGTTATGGAAGCCTCGGCAATGAAGGAGACTGGAAGCCTCGGCAATGAAGGAGACTGGAAGCCTCGGCAATGAAGGAGACTGGAAGCCTCGGCAATGAAGGAGACTGGAAGCCTCAGTAATAACGAAAACTGGAAGCCTCAGTAATAAAGAAGACTGGAATCCTCAGTAATAAAAGAGACTGGAAGCCTCAGTAATAAAGGAGACTGGATGCCTCAGTAATAAAGGACCTGGAAGCCTCAGTAATAAAGAAGACTGGAAACCTGAGTAACAAAGCAACTCGGGTATTACCTTGAAGGTGGCACAGATACTGGCGTAGGAATCGAAAGTATCAAAGTAGAATTTCTTCATCTCAGAGTAAGACTTACTCTCCTTGGCCTTCCTCACTTCCTGCCTGTAACAACACACAATGTTTGGTTTTAGTTGAAGACAGCCTAATATACCTGTAACTGCACACTCACACACACACGAGCTATGAATCGACCCCTGCAACCACAACTAGGTGAGACACACACACACACATAAGCTTATCCACACACATTACTCACATAGTCACATTAGCATGCGTGTAACTGCACATAAACATATACCTACACATACGTATCCAGACACATTACTCACATAAAGTCTTCCCGTCGTGTCGTCCTGGCAGGGTAGACGGGACGCTGGTAACTTGAAGAGGAATCACTCGTTCTTAAAGGTATTCTCTCCTCGCTCCTGGCGGACCTGAGACAGCCAGATCCTCTCCGTGACGACGACACACTACCCCTCCTGCTGTTCACCTCCTGTACACCAACAAAACTCACTTACAACTTGTACACGTGAAATAAGTTAGGTAAGGTTTGTCAGGAAACAGGACAAGTGTTTCCTGACGCGGGTCTTAGTCATGTGATGACCAACAGCTGGAGCTTTTGGTCATCTGACCAAGGACTTCCGCTGGCTTACCCCTCCACCCCTGACACCTGGGTGTCAGTGGACTGGTGTGGGTCGCATCTTGGGACAAAATTGACCTAATCTATTTAATATTGTGTAATTTACATAATAAAATTCCGTCAACTGAATTAAATATTGCCTTTATTATTATTATTATTATCAGTTTTAGTATTAGTCAAGGACACCAGAGTAAACAAGTCACTTGGTCTGACTTTATCAAGTCACTTGGTCTGACTTTATCAAGTCACTTGGTCTGACTTTATCAAGTCACTTGGTCTGACTTTATCAAGTCACTTGGTCTGACTTTATCAAGTCACTGGTCTGACTTTATCAAGTCACTTGGTCTGACTTTATCAAGTCACTTGGTCTGACTTTATCAAGTCACTTGGTCTGACTTTATCAAGTCACTGGTCTGACTTTATCAAGTCACTTGGTCTGACTTTATCAAGTCACTGGTCTGACTTTATCAAGTCACTTGGTCTGACTTTATCAAGTCACTGGTCTGACTTTATCAAGTCACTTGGTCTGACTTTATCAAGTCACTGGTCTGACTTTATCAAGTCACTGGTCTGACTTTATCAAGTCACTGGTCTGACTTTATCAAGTCACTTGGTCTGACTTTATCAAGTCACTTGGTCTGACTTTATCAAGTCACTTGGTCTGACTTTATCAAGTCACTGGTCTGACTTTATCAAGTCACTTGGTCTGACTTTATCAAGTCACTTGGTCTGACTTTATCAAGTCACTGGTCTGACTTTATCAAGTCACTTGGTCTGACTTTATCAAGTCACTTGGTCTGACTTTATCAAGTCACTTGGTCTGACTTTATCTGGGTTATCCTGCTGGGTAATTTACATATGTTACTATGCACAGCAACCACGGGGGGGGAGTTCAATATTAGTTCTGACTTTCATGTTGCAATCAATATATCATCAGGACGTCCAAAACGTTCTCCTGAACTAATCTGTTTACTTCCTGCACATTTCTGCAACATTGCAAGCTCCTGATGATGTGTTGATTGCAACACGAAAGGCCTAGAGATAATATTCAACTCCCCCTGTGGTTGTTTTTACATCTTGTATCGCTTGTTCGTAATTATTGCATGTTACTGTGTCACAGACCTGGCCGTGGGGGCGTCGACCCCCAAAACCCTCTCTAGGTATACCTGGACCTAAATAAACTCATTAAAGGTTGACTCACGAAATCGTAATGACACGATTGTAAACAAACCCAGTGCAAACAAAGCCGGTCAGGAGTTTTATGAGTCTCTGACCGCGGGTTCTATTCCCACCCGTGGTATGATTTATTAAAGGTTCAAAGAAAACGTGATATCACTTGATACATCCTCTCAGGGCTACAACAAGAAGGGTAGACTTACCTGTCTTCTGATAGGTGGTAGGGAGCTGCCTGAACCAACTCTGAAGGCCGTGGAGTCGTTAATGGGTGCCAGGATGCCACCACTGAGTGTCTGACATGTCTCCCAGTCCTCTGTGACCGCCCCACCACCACTGCTGCTGCTGCTACTGCTGCTGCTGCTGATATAATTGCTACTGCTACTGCTGCTGCTGCTGTTGCTAGTGCTGTTGTTGTTGTTGGAGCTACCGTGGAAGTTGAATCCTCCAAAACGACTGATCATGAAGTTACCCAGACCTCCAAATCTGGATCTGTTCTCCACTTCCTGTTATAAATTAAGATCTTCTTATCAGTGTTCTGAAACATATTTAACATTTTTTCAGAATCTGAAATTGGTCAGTAATCATTATTAAATATGATCTAATCAGACACATATTGCTTCAGTATATACGTAGAATAATCTACACAATATTATTAGGTGTAGTACTGTACGTACGTCACGAGTTACGTCAGGTTTCCTGACGCGGATCTTAGTTATATGATGACCCAAGTGTTGCACAAGTGTTTAATTTATCAACTTGTCGGGTTTCTAAAATGACATGTTGATTATATTACACGACAAGTGCCCGTAGAGCGTAGAGGAACTCTGGCGCTTCCTTAGCGAGTTTAGACGTACTCTGAAGCTCGCGTAGCGTGTGTAGAGGAACTCTGGCGCTTCCTTAGTGAGTTTAGACGTACTCTGAAGCTCGCGTAGCGTGTGTAGAGGAACTCTGGCGCTTCCTTAGTGAGTTTAGACGTACTCTGAAGCTCGCGTAGCGTGTGTAGAGGAACTCTGGCGCTTCCTTAGTGAGTTTAGACGTACTCTGAAGCTCGCGTAGCGTGTGTAGAGGAACTCTGGCGCTTCCTTAGCAAGTTTAGACGTACTCTGAAGCTCGCGTAGCGTGTGTAGAGGAACTCTGGCGCTTCCTTAGCGAGTTTAGACGTACTCTGAAGCTCGCGTAGCGTGTGTAGAAGAACTCTGGCGCTTCCTTAGTGAGTTTAGACGTACTCTGAAGCTCGCGTAGCGTGCGTAGAGGAACTCTGGCGCGTTCTTAGCGAGTTTAGACGTACTCTGAAGCTCGCGTAGCGTGTATAGAGGAACTCTGGCGTTTCCATAGCGAGTTTAGACGTACTCTGAAGCTCGCGTAGCGTGTGTAGAGGAACTCTGGCGCTTCCATAGCGAGTTTAGACGTACTCTGAAGCTCGCGTAGCGTGTGTAGAGGAACTCTGGCGCTTCCTTAGCAAGTTTAGACGTACTCTGAAGCTCGCGTACCGTGTATAGAGGAACTCTGGCGTTTCCATAGCGAATTTAGACGTACTCTGAAGCTCGCGTACCGTGTATAGAGGAACTCTGGCGTTTCCATAGCGAATTTAGACGTACTCTGAAGCTCGCGTACCGTGTATAGAGGAACTCTGGCGTTTCCATAGCGAGTTTAGACGTACTCTGAAGCTTGCGTAGCGTGTGTAGAGGAACTCTGGGGCTTACATAGCGAGTTTAGACGTACTCTGAAGCTCGCGTAGCGTGTATAGAGGAACTCTGGAGCTCTAACAACGTTTTTAGATGTACTCTGAAGCTCCCGTAGCCTGTACGGATTTACTCTGGAATTGACATAGCGTGGGTAGGGGTACTCTGAAGTGAACGTAGCGTGTACGGATGTACTCTGGAATTGGCATAGCGTGTGTAGTTGTACTCTGAAGCTTCCGTTGCGTGTGTGGAGGTACTCTGGAACTGACATAGCGTGTGTAGTGGTACTGAAAGCAACCTTCAGCTATGTCATCGATCTCCCCCCCCCCCCTTTCAATAGTCTGGGAGACCATCGACGAGAGGTAAGGAAGAGGAGGAGGAGGAGGAGGAGACGACAAGGAAGAGAAGGGACAAGGGAGGAGGAGGAGGAGACGACAAGGAAGAGAAGGGACAAGGGAGGAGGACTGTCCTTGCTGGTACAAGTACATAAAAATGTTTGTTCTTGTTCTGTCTCTAGTTCTCTCTCTCTCTCTCTCCCCTCTTCCTCCTCTCTCCTCTCTCTCTCTCTTCTCTCTCTCTCTCTCTCTCCTCTCTCTCTCTCTCCCTCTCTCATCTCTCTCTCTCTCTCTCTCTCCTCTCTCTCTCTCTCTCACTCTCTCTACCATACTGTCCGTGCATCTCTCTCTTTCATTTGTTCATCGTTTTCTATCATATTTTCCTGTACATGCCTTGTTCTTCTTCTGTTCTTTATTCTTGTTCATTTGCCTGTTAATGCATTTGTTCATGTTAACCTTGTACGTAGCTCATGTTAATATGTGTTTTGTCTGTGTTGACCTCTGAAGATCATGTTAGTGCGTCCTGTCTATGTTAACTTTCGCAGCGCTGTATAGCCCTTGTGGTTTAGCGCTTCTTTTTGATAATAATAATAATAATAATATGTTAACTTTGTCTGTTGTTGATGTTACTTACCAAAAAATAATATATTCAGTGTTCAATAACACGTACAAAGTACCAGGAACTAGTGTCACCACTGAGTCGTCCTTACGCAGTGCGGATTACTTGGTCTATCTGGAGGGTCTTCCGGGGGTCAGCGCCCCCGCGGCCCGGTCCGTGACCAGGCCTCGTGGGGGATCAGGGCCTAATCAACCAGGCTGTTACTGTTGGTCGCACGCAAATCGACGTACGAACCACAGCCCAGCTGGTCAGGTGCTGACTAGGTAGCTGTCCAGCTCCCTCTTGAAGGCAGCCAGGGGTCTTGAAGGCAGCCAGGGGTCTTGAAGGCAGCTAGGGGTCTTGAAGGCAGCCAGGGGTCTTGAAGGCAGCTAGGGGTCTTGAAGGCAGGAAGGGGTCTTGAAGGCAGGAAGGGGTCTTGAAGGCAGGAAGGGGTCTTGAAGGCAGGAAGGGGTCTTGATGGCAGGAAGGGGTCTTGAAGGCAGGAAGGGGTCTTGAAGGCAGGAAGGGGTCTTGAAGGCAGGAAGGGGTCTTGATGGCAGGAAGGGGTCTTGAAGGCAGCCAGGGGTCTTGATGGCAGGAAGGGGTCTTGAAGGCAGGAAGGGGTCTTGAAGGCAGGAAGGGGTCTTGAAGGCAGGAAGGGTCTTGAAGGCAGGAAGGGGTCTTGAAGGCAGGAAGGGGTCTTGAAGGCAGGAAGGGGTCTTGAAGGCAGGAAGGGGTCTTGATGGCAGGAAGGGGTCTTGAAGGCAGGAAGGGGTCTTGAAGGCAGGAAGGGGTCTTGAAGGCAGGAAGGGGTCTTGAAGGCAGGAAGGGGTCTTGATGGCAGGAAGGGGTCTTGAAGGCAGCCAGGGGTCTTGATGGCAGGAAGGGGTCTTGAAGGCAGGAAGGGGTCTTGAAGGCAGCCAGGGGTCTTGATGGCAGGAAGGGGTTTTGAAGGCAGGAAGGGGTCTTGAAGGCAGCCAGGGGTCTTGATGGCAGGAAGGGGTCTTGAAGGCAGCCAGGGGTCTTGAAGGCAGGAAGGGGTCTTGAAGGCAGGAAGGGGTCTTGAAGGCAGCCAGGGGTCTTGAAGGCAGGAAGGGGTCTTGAAGGCAGCCAGGGGTCTTGAAGGCAGGAAGGGGTCTTGAAGGCAGCCAGGGGTCTTGATGGCAGGAAGGGGTCTTGAAGACAGCCAGGGGTCTTGAAGGCAGGAAGGGGTCTTGAAGGCAGGAAGGGGTCTTGAAGGCAGCCAGGGGTCTTGAAGGCAGGAAGGGGTCTTGAAGGCAGCCAGGGGTCTTGAAGGCAGGAAGGGGTCTTGAAGGCAGCCAGGGGTCTTGAAGGCAGGAAGGGGTCTTGAAGGCAGGAAGGGGTCTTGAAGGCAGCCAGGGGTCTTGATGGCAGGAAGGGGTCTTGAAGGCAGCCAGGGGTCTTGAAGGCAGGAAGGGGTCTTGAAGGCAGGAAGGGGTCTTGAAGGCAGCCAGGGGTCTTGAAGGCAGGAAGGGGTCTTGAAGGCAGCCAGGGGTCTTGAAGGCAGCCAGGGCAGCCTGGTGGGAGGGTGTCGAACCGAGGAACGTCAATTGTGTTGTATAAAAGGTCTTGTTTCTTTTTCCCACAACTAGATTATGGACTGGTGGCTGTTGTTAGTGATGAAAATATGTGAGTCCATCCTGGGTCACCTTCATGATTCACTTATACATCACAGTGATCAACGCTACATGCGTGGAGACGAGTATGTGGCGTTGTTCACTGTGTGTGTGTGTGTGTGTATGTGTGTGTTTGTTTGTGTGTGTGTGTGTGTGTGTGTGTGTGTGTGTGTGTGTGTGTGTGTGTGTGTGTGTGTGTGTGTGTGTGTGTGTGTGTGTGTTTGTGTGTGTGTTTGTGTGTGTGTGTGTGTTTGCTCGTATGTGTGTGTATATGTGCTCACCTATTTGTGCTTGCAGGGATCGGGGCATAGCTCCTGGCCTCGCCTCTTCGCTGGTCGCTGCTAGGTCCAATCTCTCCCTGCACCTCATACCTCTTCTTAAAGCTATGTATGGATCCTGCCTCCACTACATCACTCTCCAGACTATTCCACTTCCTGACAACTCTATGGCTAGAGAAATACTTCCTAACATTCCTGTGACTTATCTGAGTCTTCAACTTCCAACTGTGATCCTTTGTTGCTGTGTCCCATCTCTGGAGCATCCTATCCACTTTGTCAATTCCTCCCAGTATTTTATACGTCGTTATCATGTCCCCTCTACCCCTCGTGTCCTCCAGTGTTGTCAGGTTAAGTTCCCTTAACCTCTCGTAGGACATACCCCTCGGCTCCGGGGATAGTCTTGTTGCAAACCTTTGCACTTTCTCTAATTTCTTGATGTGCTTAACCAGGTGTGGGCTCTATACTGGTGCTGCATACTCCAATATGGGCCTGACCTACACGATGTACAGTGTCGTGAATGACTCCTTACTTAAATGTCGGAATGCTATTCTTAGGTTTGCCAGGCGCCCATATGCTGCAGCAGTTACTTGGTCGATGTGCGCCTCAGAAGATATGCTCGGTATGATGCTCGCCCCAAGATCCTTGAGTGAGTTTTGAAGTCTTTGACCTAGGCTGTACTCCGTCTGCGGTCTTCTTTATCCTTCCCCAAACTTCATGACTGTGTGTGTGTTGGGGGGGGGGTAATTGCCAAGGCAGAACCACTTCTGGTGAATATAATTATGGTCATTACAGCACTAGATCATAAGGTCGCTCCGGGGGGATGGTGGGAGGGGGGGGATACGTGTAGGGTCACGTGACCAAAACCCGGCTGGTTTGATGTGACTGTGTGTGCACATATGTGCGTGTATAAATCCCACACAGAGACACGCACACACAATAAAATCCAGAGTTAAAAAGGTGAGTCATAAACAAAGAAAATAAACAAACAACGTCTTCCAGGAACTGTGAAGCCACTGTGAAGCCACTGTGAAGCCACAGTGAAGCCACTGTGAAGCCACAGTAAAGCCACAGTGAAGCCACAGTGAAGCCACTGTGAAGCCACAGTGAAGCCACAGTGAAGCCACAGTGAAGCCACAGTGAAGCCACAGTGAAGCCACAGTGAAGCCACTGTGAAGCCACAGTGAAGCCACAGTGAAGCCACTGTGAAGCCACAGTGAAGCCACAGTGAAGCCACTGTGAAGCCACTGTGAAGCCACAGTGAAGCCACAGTGAAGCCACAGTGAAGCCACTGTGAAGCCACAGTGAAGCCACAGTGAAGCCACAGTGAAGCCACAGTGAAGCCACTGTGAAGCCACAGTGAAGCCACAGTGAAGCCACAGTGAAGCCACAGTGAAGCCACAGTGAAGCCACTGTGAAGCCACTGTGAAGCCACTGTGTCAAGCAAGAAGCAATAATAATAACAGTGATATTGATAATAATAATAATAATAATAATAATAATAATAGCAATAATAATAATAATAATAATACTAGGACTGGCTTACCAGTGTGGTCTTTACAACCAGGTTTAAGTTTTCCAACCATGTCAATACAATAACTTTCTGACCAGTAGTGGGACAACATTCTTCCTGCTCTTCTTTCTGTCTTCTTATACAAGTATTATAAATCTTACAAATTTCCATAACTACTGAATCACAACATCGTAAATTAATAACCATCAGAATAATTTGGACAGGAAACTATATATAATATACTTTACCAATGTTATATTATCCTTGTTAATGTTAAATATAATTATACTGTAAAGTTATCTTATATTAATTAATTTAATATACCTAAATTTGAATTTAATGTTTTATTATATAT